CCCTGGGGAGCCTCCTGGGGCACAGCACTGACCTTGGCTGGGGCTGGCTCTGGAAACAGTGTCAGGCCATAAATCCATGTCTGCTGCTGCAGGGACACATCTGTGGAGGTCTGGCTGGTTAAATACATCCAGTATCTCCTTCCAGAGGCCAACAGCATCCCTGCCAAATCTCACACCGCATTCGCTTCCAGGAATCACTTTGGAAAGGAGCTGTGAGAGCAGGAGCAGGGCCAAGAGTCCAGGCTGCTTCCACTTCCTGCTCCTCACAGCTGGAACAGCTTCTCCAGGTTGCTGGTGACACTGGTGGGATGTGGGGACACAGTGGCTCAGCCAAAATCATCAACTCACAGCAAGGTTTGGGATGGAAAGGATTTTAAAACCCATCTATTCCCAACCCTCCTGCCATGGGCAGGGACACCTTTCACCAGCCCAGGTTGCTCCAAGCCCCATCCAACCTGGCCTTGGACACCTCCAGGGATCCAGGGGCAGCCACAGCTTCTTTGCCCAACCTGGGCCAGGGCCTCTCCACCCTCACAGCCAACAATTCCTTCCCAATATCCCATCTATCCCTGCCCTCTGGCAGTGGGAAGCCATGTAGGACATGATCTCACTGACACTGCTGATGTGCTGGGTAATTGCAGGCATTGAGCTCTTGGGGAGAGAAAAAACTCCAAGGTTTTTGAACTTTTCATAGGTAGGTAATTCCTGGTAGTTCAGCAAAATGATTTAGTGAAGCTTCACATCAGATGCATCAGGGAAGTTCTGTGAGTCACGGAATCAGGGAATGGTTTGGGTTGGAAGGAACCTTAAAGCTCATCCAGTTCCACCCCCTGCCATGGGCAGGGACACCTCCCACTAGCCCAGGTTGCTCCAAGACCCATCCAATCTGGCCTTGGACACTTTCAGGGATCCAGGGGCAGCCACAGCTTCTCTGCCCAACCTGGGCCAGGGCCTCCCCACCCTCACAGGGAACAATTCCTTCCCAATATCCCATCTATCCCTGCCCTCTGGCAGTAGGAAGCCATTCCCTGTGTCCTGTCCCTCCATCCCTTGTCCCCAGTCCCTCCCCAGCTCTCCTGGAGCCCCTTTAGGCCCTGCAAGGGGCTCTCAGCTCTCCCTGGAGCCTTCTCTTCTCCAGGTGAACCCCCCCAGCTCTCCCAGCCTGGCTCCAGAGCAGAGGGGCTCCAGCCCTGGAGCATCTCCGGGGCCTCCTCTGGACTCTCTCCAGCAGCTCCACGTCCTTGTGCTGTTGTTCCCAGGGCTGGGGCAGCTCTGCAGGGGGGTCTCACCCAAGGGGGCAGAGGGGCAGATCCCCCCCTCCCTGCTGCCCACGCTGGGGGATCAGCCCAGGTTGTGTTTGGCTTTCTGGGCTGCAAAATCCCAGGAATCTCCATACTCTCCGTGCTCTCCCCCCTCCATCCAAACCTCCCCCATGGTCCAGCACAGGCACTGCCAGGCTGGGCTGGGCTGGTCCACAGTGCCCAGGGCTCCCCAGCACCCCTGCAGTTGCCATGGAGACCATTCACTCACCAAATTAGGACCAAAGACCACCATCCCTTCCCCCCATCCCTTCCCCCCATCCCTTCCCCACCATTCCTCTCCTGATGGCACCAAGACCTGAGAACAAGTGAGACCTTCTCCCTCCAAAAACCCCACAGACCCCCAGGACAATGGGCAGGGAAAAAAAAAACAGGCAAAGCCCTGGGCAGACAATGTTTAAATGACTTTATTTTTGTTTTTTTCCTCCTTTTATAAATGGGCACAGCACAGAAATAATTAAAAAAAATAGACAGTACCATTACAGTGCTAGATCCATTGGCAAAGATTATTTTTTATAGTCTTTTTTTCTTTTTTTTTTTCATTATTTTTAAAGTTTTGGCCATTGAGTAAGAACAAAAACAATTAACAAACATTTTATTTTATTTTTTTTTTGTTTTTTAAACAGACACTATGAAGCAATTTAAGTACTAAACTCTAGAAGAGTTATGTACATACAAAAAAAAGTTCTGTTTAAGATATGTTTCCTATTAAAAATATTTACATGCATTTTTTTTTCCCCTCCCGTATTCCTTGAAAGGTACAACATTTGGGAGTGTTCCAGATTTTTTAGTTTTTGTTCTCCTGTTGGGATTGTAAATCAGCTCCAAAGAAAGACTGAAGCAGGGTCACTTGTTGGGCTTTCCTTTGAGTCCCTGAAATCTTCTGGAAAGGGATATTTTTTTTTTTTTTTGGATGTATATCAACTGATTCTTTTTTTTTTTTCTTTTATTTTTTATTAATCTTTTTTAATTTATACAAGAACATTTCCTGTTTTATTTACAGAAGAACCAAGGGGTGATGGTTTATCCTGGAGACGTGGTGGGTGGAGTGAGGGAGAAGCAGGTGATTTTTAAAAAGTAGTTCCATCAAACTGCGCTGGGTTGTTGTTTTTCTCAAGTCAGCAGTTCCTGTCTGGGTTGATTGTCAGCTGTGCTGGGGTGACTTCGACCAGGTGGGACCCACAACAGGGGGAATTTAAAGCCCAGAAAGTCACTGGTTACCCTCGAGGTCTTTGGAGATGCTGTGGATGAACCGTCGGGAATGTCGGGGTGAAAAAAAAATTGGGCATCACGGGGGGGGGGGGGATTTTTTTACCCCCCAAAATCAACGTAACAGAAAACAAAACAAAACAACAAAAACCATCAAAAAAAAAAAATTAAAACCAAACAAAGTTTGTACACTCCAGACTGAGACTCCTCTAGAGACGGGGTGTGGGAATGTCCATGGAGCTGCAGGCACGAGGGTTGTGGGACACACCGGAGCCACCACGGGGCCTTGGGAGCATCCTGGGATCTGCTCCAGCTCCAGCAAGTCCAAAGGCTCCTTATCCCCCACCCTGGAACACCCAGAGCCAGACTGGAGGTGACCAGGATCAGGCTGGTGCTGTGACAGGGAAGGAAGGAGCAGCAAGGAATTCATGAGGAATCCTGCATCCATCCCATGGGATGGGGTGCAAGGGCTGCAGAGCTGCTGATAAACACCACTCCTGCTCCTCCTCCTCCTTCTTTTCCTCCTCCTCCTCCTCTTCCTCCTCCTCCTCCTCCTCCTCCTCCTCAGGTGCAGAGTTCACCCTGAACCTGTTCCTGTCCCCGTGCCTTGCACGCACACGTATATACATATATACATATATATTAATTACATACACATATATATACATACAGACACACCACACACCCATTCCCTTGCTCCCAGAGGACCCCCAGAAGCTGCCAAGGATATCCCAGGGAGACATCCCAACAAACCTTTGGGAGCTGTCCCAATCAAAACCTCTCAGTGCTGCAAACTCGGCATCACTTTTAGAGCACCGCAGAAAAGCTTCAAGCCCCCTCCCCCAAAAAAAAAGAGTGCTTAGGGAGGAAAAAAATGAATTTAAAAATCCAATCTTTTTTTTTTTAAGAGGATTTTGTTCTTGTTAAAGCTGGTCACTCGTAGCAGGGGTTGGAGAGGAGGGGTCTGGAGAGCCAGAGACAAGGCCTGTGTGTAGCAAAGGGATCGTTGGCACCCATCGGGCAAAATAAGGAGAGAACGGGATATTTTGAGAGAAACCAGCACACCAGGGCACCCATCCAGCCCAGAGCCACTACCTGCCCTGCAGCAGGATCCCCTAAGCTTGTTTTTGTCCTGCTGCTTGTTTTTGAAAGGTTCAAAATCAAAGGGATTTCTGGAGGAAAGACATTTCAGTCCCAGCCCTGCAAATCCCGTCCAGGCCTTGGTCCTGCTGCTGACTGGGGCCCCTCCATCCCTTGCCCTTCCCTTCCTCCCCCTTCCAGCCCCTCCTCTGGGCTCTCACACGTGTTTTCTGACCTTCCCTTCCCTCCTCCTGCCTCCTCCTTATTTCTGTGGCCCGGGAGTCCCTGGATATTTATCATTCTCCTGCTGCAAAGCTGAGAGTGCCTGAAGGGCAGCACAGCTGGCAGAGGAGCCCAGCCCACCTTCCAGAGCTGTGCAATTCCAGAGCTTCTAAAATCCTTCAGCTGGCGAGGCAAAGAGTCCTCCTTCAGCTCCAGCACATCACACACACATGTGGACACGCAGAAAAGAGATGGAAAAAACAAGTGGGAAATCCTTACTCTGCTCCCACCCCCCCTCAGGGAGCACAGCTGGAAGGACGGGCACAGCTGGGATCACCAGCAGGGATGTGTCTGTGCCCAGAGGGATGATGCCAGGCAGAGCTGGCAGGTTTGGGGAGGGGGTGATGTGGGAGATGCTCGAGCTGAGATTGGGGTTAATTTTCCTAAAGATCCGCTCGGCAGCCAAACCAGCAGCTGAGGGAGGGCGCTGGGGTCCCTCCCCGCTGGGCTGCCTCGCTTCTTCCCAATCCATCTTCCCACCAGGAATGCCCCAAAAGCCCTGGAGCACCCGAGCAGAAGCCACCCCCACCCCTCTGAGATGAGCTCAGCTGGGTAAAACTGGGGCCAAGGTTGTGGGTTCAGTCCCTGTATGGGCTTGAGCTGGGCTTGAGACTCAAGAGTCAGGCTTGATGGTCCTCGTGGGTCCCTTCCAGCTCAGAAAATGACCCCCTGCACTCCCTGGCAGCACCAGGTTCCACTGGGGTTTCCCCCATCCCATGGAGAAACCATGGTGGCTGAGGTTTTTTTGGGAGGTGACCTTTCCCAAACACACACAGCCCGTGTCCAGCTCTATCCCACCATCCCCTACCCTCGGAGGGAGGCTCAGGATCAACCACCTCCAGCAAGACAAGGCTTTTTTCCCCTCCCAAGCCTCAACTCCACCAACTAATCCAGTGCCCCCGAGGAGCTGAGGCGACAGGAAAGGCTGTGACATAACTCATAACTCATAATTTACCACCAGAAAGGTGGGCTCCAAGCCCAAAAGATGCTCTTAGAGCCTCTCTGGGCAGACAGCAACACAGCCAAGGTGTGGGAGAAGGAGAAGAACGATGAATTAAGACTTTGATCACTTCTGATGATCACTTTAATGACCTTCACGTCTTTTTTTTGCACGTGCTCATCTCCTACTTTTAATTACTGCAAAGGAAAGGTCCTGCCCTGGCTCCTCTCCCCCCCTCCCACTTCCAGCCTCCCTCACTTGGCAAACTGTGACGGATTTAAGTGCCAGGATTACAACTTAACACCAGCTGAGAGAGCCGAGGTTAAGCTTGAGCGAATAAAAAAATTGTATTATGGAACTTCAGACTATTAAATAGGGGGGAAAAAAAAGGAATGAAGAAGATTAGGGAAGCAGCTAAGAAAAGCAGCATTAAATAGATTAAGCTGGGAGAGGTTTTTTTTTCTTTAATGCAAGCTCAAAGGATTAATTCCACGTTTTTCCAAAAGATGGTGGGTTTGGGTGGCCTTGATGCCAAGCCCAACTCATTAAATCATGAAGAGGCTTGATTTCTACCACTGCCCGCTGCTTGGGCCCCTTGGGTGGACCCAAAAGGACCAAAAATCTCCCCAAACCATCCAATTACTGAGTTGAAACTCCCCTTTGAACAGGAAAAAGTGGCTTTTGCCCCCAGGGTGGCACCAGCCTCTTCAGCTGTGTGGACCCTCCTTCCCTCCTCATCCTCCACAGCCCAAGGAATGCCCAAGGATGGAGCCAAGGAATGGTCACACACACACTCAACACCATCTGCCTTCCAGCACCACCATCCAAGGCATCCAACGGGATCATTTCCAAACTCCCAAGAACCTAAACCTACGCTGATTTTGAGGCTGGCAGCTCTAAATTGGGCATTTTAGAGCTGATCCATGCACAGGGCTCTGTTCCCTACCCTGAAGTAAAGCCAGGCTGTCATTTTGGGTCACACCCCAAGGGAGTGTAGCCCAACCCTCCCATTTGCCCACCCACAAATCCCATCCAACCATCCCATGCAGTGCAATGAAAATGTACAGGGATTTCATATATATAACTGTGTATGTATGTGAGTGTGCGTGTGTATATATATATATATATTTAAAATATGCATTTGGCCTCTCAAATCCCTTCCCCAAAGAAGCTCTGCTGTCTCACACCCTCCACCAAGGCCATAAAACCCCATGTCCACCGACACCCTCGGGGGACAGAGTGTCACTGGCCCCGAGCAGGTTAATTCACAACACACAAAAGAGTCAAAGCAGCTCATTTTTCGCCCCGTTTTCCTGTTTAAATTGCACTAAGAGCAAAGCCAAGGTCTCCATGGGACACCATCGAGATCACAACCATCGTGAAAACAGAACTCCTTGACTGCATCCCGAGCGGCGCTTCAGCTAATTAAAAGCCAGCTCATTGAAGTAACTAATTGACTTCCCTGTGCAGAGCTCGCTCCTGAAAATCCAGCCTTTCTGTAAGGCACAGTTGGATCTGGAAGAGGCCCTGCTGCTCTGCACCCTCAGAGGGGAAACCAGCTCTTGGGTGCTGCTGGATTCCAGGGATCAGATGCCATCAGATGCCATCAGGCTCCTGGTGCCCCGGGGGTTATACTGGGATTTAAGGAACAACACAAGGAACACAATCCATCAGTCCTGGGGCTTTCCAGTGATGTGTAGCAGCCAACCTCTGCCTCATCTTCCTCACCTTCTGGGTGCCTCCAGGGATCCCTCCCTGACCCCCAAGGGGACAGTGTCACCTCTCCTTGGCATCTCCTTCCTCATGCTGCCTCTCCCACCTTTGTTATCCACTCTGGAGGAACCTGGGAGAGGATTGAGCTTCTCCATATCCGTCTCCACCCCTCGCCAGCTCCCCACCGAGCTCTGTTCCAAAACCAGCACTCTTGCAAGCCCAGTTTTGTTGGTCACAGTGAAACCCCAGCCTAAGCAAAGTCCCTTCTCTACCAAAGCCCTCGGCAGGTTCAGGAGGTTGAAGGTCTCTGGCTGTTCCAGGGAGGTGGTGGCAGGAGGGTGGTGGCAGGAGGGTGGTGGCAGGAGCAGCAGGAGATGCCCCCGGTGCCGCTTCTTGCTGCTCCACAAACTCTCTGAAAAGTTGATCCAAAGAGATCATTCCCAGCCTACTGGCCACATTTGTATTTATTTCTTATTTTGCCAAGAGCAAACCCCGGGGCAGCCAGGTATTCCAGCCCCTTGTGCTTTTTTCCAAGGTTCCAAGCATGTCTGGGAGTTGTGTCCTCTCTTCCAAGAGGAGCAGGGAGCAAGGGAATTCCTGCAAAGCAACCAACCCCGTTCAAAAAGCAAACAAAAAAAAATAAAAGCAAGACAGAGGGAAAGAAACCTCCCTCCTTTACGAATGGAAAAAAACCAAGGAAGATAAATCCAAACCAAGCCCCCTGCGCCCCAGGACTGGGAGAAGGTGTCCGGATCCCAGAGTCCGTTGTGCTGGGAAAAGTCCACTTGACCTCCAGTCACTGTGGGCAGCCTGACCACCCCACCCTGTGCTCTCCAGGGTGCTCCTGGGCACGGCCTCTTTGGCATTGGCTCCTTGCCCTGTCCATCCCAGCAGCGGGAAGGCCGGCGGGGCTCGCTCCGAGCTCGGCGATGCTCCGGGCACCCGACGTCTCATCACGCCAAAGATGTGTTTGCTCCTTCAGCTGTTGCAGGTTTTTGCTTTTTCAAACTCACAGTCTGATCCAAAGGAAAAAAAAAAAGAAAGGGAAAGAGAGGGGGAAAGAGAAGAGACTGGATGAAGTAGAGGAGGAGGGCGAGTTTGGAGCGGGGAGGGAGGGCGAGGCACGCCGGCTCTCCTTCTACGCGTAGAACTCCTCCTGCTTGTCGGGCTTCTGGTAGGTCACGTTGGCTTGTTTGGGCTCCTCCAGGGTGTAACTGCCCTCGTCCTTCTTCTTCATCCGGTAGATGAGCAGCATGACCAGGAAGGCGGCGAAGAGAGCTCCCACCACGCCGCCCACGATCACGGCTGCAACACAACACGGGGCATGGCCGTCAGTGCCACCCTCGGCCCCGGCACAGACCAGCTGGGGAGGGGGCATTTGGGACTGCAGCTCGGCTTTGTGCTTTGCACAAAGCTTTGGGAGCAGCTTTTCTCCCAAAATCTATGGTTGGGAAAGCTGACAGGGAAGGTGGGGGGGCTAAAAGTTCAAGAGCTCCCCAGGGAGTGATGCCGAGGGCTGGTGGCACCCAAAGGCTTCTACTCTCAGCTGCACCTCAGTGGGTGATGCACCAGCATGAGGCAGCCCCTGTACAGGCTGTAACCTCATGTGAGGAGGGACCCCCAAGAGTATTTGGGGTTCTACCCTCAGCTGAAGACCCCCAGAGCTTTGGCTGCCCCTCTGTGCCATCCTCAGTTGCTGGTGGGACACTGGCACCCCTGTCCCACCTCTGATGCCCCTCTGGCTGGGACAAATGGGCATCTCCCTCCTCCCCTCAATCAGTCAGAGGTGGCTGGGTGTCACTCAGCAGCGCATCTTTCCACTGACATCCTGATTTTTTCCTGGAAACCCAGTTCATCAGGAGCAAGTTGTGCACAGTTCTGTGCTGTCCCGGCAAAAAATGAGGAGCCCTGGGATGCTCCAAACTCTCCCAACAAAGAATGAGGAGCCCCTGGGATACTCCAAGCTCTCAAGTCAAAGAATAGGGAGCCCTAGGATGCTCCAAACTCTCCTGGAAAAGAAAGAGGAGCCCTGGGATGCTCCAAACTCTCCAACAAAGAATGAGGTGCCCTGGGATGCTCCAAACTCTCCTGGAAAAGAATGAGGAGCCCTCGGATACTCCAAACTCTCAAGGCAAGGAATAGGGAGCCCTGGGATGCTCCAAA